AGATGGGATAAGAATTCTTATCTTTTAAAAAGGGGTCGGAGAAACCAGACATTATTTTATGTTTTAAATTCCGCATGAGAGCGCTTATGCACCACCAGTTTGATGTATTGTGGCGTTTTATTTTTAGTACTTAGTGGTAAAAGTGCTAAATATTCTTCCACACTTGCTTCTCCATACACATCAACAATAGATCAACGTTTGGAAGCCAGTTTCTACGTCAAGCGAGCAGCTTACAAGAACGAAATACGTTGACCTACATACATTGAGTCCATGAACCTAGCAGAGCAAGGTCAGCAGAACACAATCAAACATATTGCATAATTAGGTGCTAATTAGGTGCTAACTAAGTGCCCTATTCCCGAATTAAATGCTCCTTTTTTTAAATAATTACATGTTTTGCCAGGTGCATATGAACTCAGCAGAACACTACCTCAAAAAACCAAGAAAATGAAAAGTGAACTAACTATTCCCGAATTAAATGCTCCTTTTTTTTTAAATTATTACAATGTTCTGCCAGGTGCATATGAACTCATCAGAGCACTATCTCAAAAACCAAGAAAATGAAAAGTGAACTAACTATAATTAGGTGCTAATTAAGTGCATTCCCAAATTAAATGCTCCTTTTTTTTTAATAATTACATGCTTTGCCAGGTGCATATGTACTAATCAGAGCACTACCTCAAAAACCAAGAAAATGAAAAGTGAGCTATAATTAGGTGCTAATTAAGTGCCCTATTCCCGAATTAAATGCTCCTTTTTTTTTAAATTATTACAATGTTCTGCCAGGTGCATATGAACTCATCAGAGCACTACCTCAAAAACCAAGAAAATGAAAAGTGAACTAACTATAATTAGGTGCTAATTAAGTGCCCCATTCCCAAATTAAATGCTCCTTTTTTTTTAATAATTACATGCTTTGCCAGGTGCATATGTACTGATCAGAGCACTACCTCAAAAACCAAGAAAATGAAAAGTGAACTAACTATAATTAGGTGCTAATTAAGTGGCCTATTCCCGAATTAAATGCTCCTTTTTTTAAAAATTATTACAATGTTCTGCCAGGTGCATATGAACTCATCAGAGCACTACCTCAAAAACCAAGAAAATGAAAAGTGAACTAACTATAATTAGGTGCTAATTAAGTGCCCTATTCCCGAATTAAATGCCCCTCTTTTTAAAAATTATTACAATGTTCTGCCAGGTGCATATGAACTCATCAGAGCACTACCTCAAAAACCAAGAAAATGAAAAGTGAACTAACTATAATTAGGTGCTAATTAAGTGCCCTATTCCCAAATTAAATGCTCCTTTTTTTTTAATAATTACATGCTTTGCCAGGTGCATATGAACTCATCAGAGCACTACCTCAAAAACCAAGAAAATTAAAAGTGAACTAACTATAATTTGGTGCTAATTAAGTGCCCTATTCCCGAATTAAATGCTCCTTTTTTTAAAATTAATGCATGTGTTCTGCCAAGTTCATATGAACTCGGCAGAACACTACCTCCAAAACCAAGAAAATGAAAAGTAAACTAACTATAATTAGGTGCTAATTAGGTGCTAATTAAGTGCCCTATTCTCGAATAAAATGCTCCTTTTTTAAAAAAATGATTACATGTTCTGCCAGATGCATATGAACTCATCAGAGCACTACCTCAAAAACCAAGGAAATGAAAAGTGAACTAACTATAATTTGGTGCTAATTAAGTGTCTATTCCCGAATTAAATGCTCCTTCTTTTTAAATTAATGCATGTTCTGCTAGGTTCATATGAACTCAGCAGAGCACTACCTTAAAAACCCAAGAAAATGAAAAGTGAACTAACTAATAATTAGGTTAGAGTTTATATGAACCTAGTAGAACATGTAATAATTAAAAAAAAGAGAATTTAATTCGGGGATAGGGCACTTAATTAGCACCTAATTATAATTAGTTCACTTTTCATTTTCTTGGTTTTCTGAGGTAGTGCTCTGATGAGTTCATATGCACCTGGCAGAACATGTAATCATTTATTTAAAAAAAAAGGCGCATTTAATTCGGGGATAGGCCACTTAATTAGCACCTAATTACAGTTAGTTCACTTTTCATTTTCTTGGGTTTTAAAGGTAGTGTTCTGCTGAGTTCATATTATGACCTGGCAGAACATGTAATCATTAAAAAAAAAAGAAGCACTTAATTTGGGGATAGATCCCTTAATTAGCATCTAATTAGCACCTAATTATAATTAGTTCACTTTTCATTTTCTTGGTTTTTTGAGGTAGTGCTATGATGAGAAGCAATTGCAATTGCTTGGATCGAGGATTGCTTGTAATGAAGCACTTAGTTTCATACCAGAAATAATGACAACCCCCTTACATTCGTGGAATCTACCAGCTCTGCGGAACGCCCGGTATTTGGATGCGATTGAAATTGAAAGCGCCTCGTTACGAAGACTGTCGCTCCGAAAATATTCATTTCTGTTTTAGGACTTTGAAATAGAAGCTGGAAAGTAGTTGTTTAATTTGTAGAGCCGCCCGAAAGGGAAAGCAATTTTTTTCATTTTGAGCTGTTCCCATGGGAATATCTTTGTAGCGTTCGAAAGACAACGAAAAATTAATATTTCAGCTCCGTTAAGCAATTACTAGGCAGGTTTTAGTTTCCAATGGTATATGAGAACGAGCATTAACACTGCAAGGCCATGTTTGATACGAGACCTTTTGCCTGTCCTGAGAAATTTAAATGAAAGTATGCATTTAGAAATTCTTTCGCGCATTTAAGTGAATATAATTAACCGTTGCTAATTAAATGAGTTGCAGTAAACACCATCCGATTAAATCGTGAGCGCTTTAAATTTAAGACCAATGACGGATTTTTAGGACGTCAGCAGGCCGCACAATTAATTAAAGAAGTTTTAATTTATGGAGGTACTTATCCGAAAACACTAGTTTGGCTGGGAAACCGCCGTTCTTCCAATAAAATGGCCGAATTCTATATAAGGTAAAGCCGTCGTTTAGTGGGGATCTCTTTCGTTCGGAAATACTGTAAATTTACTTTGGCAACCGTACCGTATTTAAATCGTGGAACTTTAGCCGTTTTGCACCTTTGATGGTAGCGTGTACTCCTGTATTGAAAATCTTTTTTTTTCTTCTCTTCCGCTCCGTTAAATGTTTAAGGTAGCGTTTGACACTTTTCCTTTCGTTAATTATAAAGGGAGGGGGTTCTTTTCCCGCATTTGATTTTCCGTAGCTACCGCTAATTCATTTATGCTTTGTTGCAAAGTACGTACCTAGCATTTACAAAGCAGTGCAAAAATAACGTGAAATGTACGTAATGAGCCGTAAGTGTACGTGTGTGTCCATAAATCCATCGCTGGATATGCTATGGCTTGGAAGTTTTAATTTCAAAATTGGTACTTGATATTTTCTTTACGTTAAGTATAAGGGGGGGTTTGTTTTCCTTGTTTCTGTTTAAGATTATTTGCCAATGACCGGCCCTCTATTTTCTTTGCATGATTACTCGTGGCTTCCGAAACCGATACGATTTCCACCTTTTTCCCGCTGATTAAAAATTAATTTGTTTATTCGATTAAGTGCATTGTTCATTTTTAAGCAACCGTTTGTGCGCGATCTTCCCGACAATCTCCGTTAACGTGCTCCCGTTACAAAATTTACATAATTAAAAAAAATTAATTTCTTCAGCAATTCCCATCCTACATTCCAAAGGAGAATACTCGCGACCGTTATTCAAGGGGTAGTTACACACTTCCCAATCATAATTAATATTAGCACCATTTCCATAGACAAATAGAGCGAATGACTCTTTATCCAGTTCCAAAAGGCATAGGCTTTTGGAATTGTACAAAAGTATCTAATAGTTATGTAAGTACAGGGTGAAGCAAATAATTACAATACATGGTTCGTGGTCTAAACTTTTTCGTTCAATTTACTCCCCAAGTTCGGGAGGGATTTATGCAGGAGCCCACGGGAACGTTTAATTTCCCTTCATTATCTCACGATATACTTGCGAATTTACGACGTCCTCCCACAAATCGCTTTTCCACATGAATTGTTGCGCTTTTTTTTATTTCGAGAATGCGAACGAAAACGGAGCTCGGAATGTTTCAATTGTTCCAAAAATACCAGAGGTCGTAATTTTTCACTTCACGTCGATTGTAATTAATCAGGAAAAGCTTTGGCGAAGACTTACCGATTGTTAACGGGTCACCGTAGGCGGCGAGGCCCGGGCGAAAGAGGGCGACGGAAATTAGCCCGACTAATTGAGCAAACACTAATTTGCACATAATGAAGATTGATTAATTAACGAATAGCGGGAGGAGTACTCATGTCGATTTGCAGTCAAACACTTTCTGATGCGTTTTCGTTTTGAAGATATTTGAACGAGTGCCAAGCGATTATAAATAGAGACATACATTTCTCGAAAAAAATTCGCCACTTCCGGAGGCGATGGAAGTAACCTCAATTGCCCGTGAAGGCGGGACGGAATTCTGCGACTTTCCCAATTGGCGCACCCCCGTCCCTTAAAAGGAATTAAAAAGTTTTCTTTCGGATCGTATTGTCGTAGAAGTTTTATTTGTAGGCGCTTGCGCTTATCGATTTACCCAATGCAGTTATACATTGCGGGAAATTACACGTGCTTCCGACATACCCTTCGGATAAATAATAGTAAAAGGGTAGCGGCTTACTGATCGAATTCCCACGGCGATCTACGCGCGGGTTTATTAAAAAAATGCTCGCCGATTGAATCTTTGTGCTAATTACTTGTTTTCCTAGCCGGTGAGTAAGTACCTTTATTATTACTCGGCATCGATTTTACGTTTTTTTTAATTTTTCACCAGGTCCGTCTCCTTACATAATTTAATATTAGGTGATTATATTAAGTTTTAATGGGAATTAAAGGGAAGCCCTTTTATTGCGTGCATCAAGCGACGACCTTCGTTTAAAAAACTCGGTTATCTGCTTCCCTTTCGCTCGCACCCCTTTTCCTTGGTTGATTTGGGGAAAATGAGTTCCGACATCGATATTTAAGTGCTTATTATAATCGATATAAGGTGAAAAGGGGTCCTACTGCAGATAGATATGGGTAATTAAATTCGTTGTTTATTTTTCAAGTGCCTTTATTGCGCATGAAACTACATTATTTCGGATTTATTTTTTTTTGGAAATGGTGTACTTCATTGGTAATTTATTAATTTCAAAATCTATTCCTCCAAGTCACATTACATGCATACATTGAGAGCGGTGTGAATTTTCCGAGAGGAGATTTCTTTTAGTGGGACGGAGCGAATTTTCCAAGACGTGGGTATTCTTTCATTAGAATACCTTACCCTAGTCTTTTTAAAGCAAAAAGGCGGCCAATGCTCCAGTTGAGAATATTCTAGCAGAGACCGTTATGGGGGAAACTTTTCTGATTGTCCATAAAAAAACTTGTGAAATTTAGTCTTATCGCAAATTTTCAGCTGTTTCGACTGTTTGAAATTATGGATTCTACAGGTCACATTCTATAAGAAAAATTTTTTTCCGGGTCGATCTGAGACAATTTTTTCTTCGAGTCTCAAAAAAAGGCAGTGTATAACCTTCCTTTTCTACCAAAAATCGACTACACCAAAATTTCTCGGGAAAACACTTTTTCTTATTAATTTGTATGCGTAGAATCCAAATCAATTCGTACTTTTTCGATCAGACTTCTCAATCAAAAGTTATAGACTAGAAAACAATTTCGAAAAAAATTCAAAGGGCTGTAACTTTTGAACTAGTAGCCCAATCTTGGAACTGTTTAAAATTATGGATTCTACAGGCCACATTCTATAAGAAAATTATTTTCCGGGTGGATCTGAGACAATTTTTTTTCGGGGCTCAAAAAAAGGCAGTGTACAACCTTCCTTTTTTACCAAAAATCCACTACACCAAAATTTCTCGGGAAAACACTTTTTCTTATTAATTTGGGTGCGTAGAATCCAAATCAATCCGTACTTTTTCGATCAGACGTCTCAATCAAAAGTTATAGACTAGAACCCAATTTCAAAAAAAAAAATTCAAAGGGCTGTAACTTCTGAACTAGTAGCCCAATCTTGGAACTGTTTGAAATTATGGATTCTACAGGCCACATTCTATAAGAAAATTTTTTTTCGGGTCGATCTGAGACAATTTTTTTTTCGGGGCTCAAAAAAAGGCAGTGTATAACCTTCCTTTTTTACCAAAAAATCGACTACACCAAAATTTCCCGGGATAACACTTTCTTATTAATTTGGGTGCGTAGAATCCAAATCAATTCGTACTTTTTCGATCAGATTTCTCAATCAAAGGTTATAGACTAGAAACCAATTTCGAAAAAAATTCAAAGGGCTGTAACTTTTGAACTAGTAGCCCAATCTTGGAATTGTTTGAAATAATGGATTCTACGGGCCACATTCTATAAGAAAAATTTTTTTCCGGGTCGATCTGAGACAATTTTTTTTTCGAGGCTCAAAAAAGGCAGTGTATAACTTTCCTTTTTTACCAAAAATCGACTACACCAAAATTTCTCGGGAAAACACTTTTTCTTATTAATTTGGGTGCGTAGAATCCAAATCAATTCGTACTTTTTGGATCAGACTTCTCAATCAAAAGTTATAGACTAGAAACCAATTTCGAAAAAAAATTCAAAGGGCTGTAACTTTTGAACTAGTAGCCCAATCTTGGAACTGTTTGAAATTATGGATTCTACAGGTCACATTCTGTAAGGCAATTTTTTTCCGGGTCGATCTGAGACAATTTTTTTTGCGGGCCTCAAAAAAAGGCAGTGTATAACCTTCCTTTTTTACCAAAAATCGACTACACCAAAATTTCTCAGGAAAACACTGTTTTCTTATTAATTTGGGTGCGTAGAATCCAAATCAATTTGTACTTTTTCGATCAGACTTCTTAATCAAAAGTTATAGACTAGAAACCAATTTCGAAAAAAAATTCAAAGGGCTGCAACTTTTGAACTAGTAGCCCAATCTTGGAACTGTTTGAAATTATGGATTCTACATGCCACATTCTATAAGAAAATTTTTTTCCCGTGTCGATCTGAAACATTTGTTTCTTCGGGGCTCAAAAAAAGGCAGTTATTACTTTCCTTTTTACCAAAAATCTACTGCACCAAAATTTCTCCGGAAAACACTTTTTCTTATTAATTTGGGTGCGTAGAATCCATTTAGAAAGATATACGGGACAATGTTTTCGTCGTATTTCGGCAACCCTTATGGCCAATGCTGGCACTGATAACAACACGTGCTCAAACGACACGGAGGTTGAAAGCCGAAGCCGAAAATTACATTGAAGAGACTATTGAAGGAAAGACGAGGGTGGAAAAAATGATTCAAGGAGGTGAACATTTTGTACAAGTTCTCCAGCAACGGCAAGCGGTTAACACCACCGCAGTCCCCAGCGATGGGGGTGTGCCCGCTATTAAAATTAGGGAGAATTCTTATTGTATAATTGATAGTACTATTAATTCTTAAGCTTTCAAATGATAATGTAAATACCTTAAATAAATTTGACGTTTCTTTTTATCAAAAAATTATCAGTTGCCACGCAACACTTTCCGGTCTTGTGATGTAATAGATCACTTTCTGGACTCAACTAAATGATGTAATGGACTGTATAGCGAACAGTATGAAATAAATAACTATTTCCCTATGTCTACTTTCAAAAGACAAAATCGCTTCTGAAGAGCGCCTAATTTTATGCATCCAAAATGAACAATTTGGCTGTCATATTAATTAGTTGGAATATTGCTGCTACGACTTAAAAGAAACTAAATCTCTTACGCTCCTTAAACTGTTAAGGACACTATACCAATTGACAATATCTACTTTTTATTCAGTTTGCATACATCGCACACGAACGAATATAAAAATACAGAGACCAAAGCAACAATATTCAAATCAATTAATGTGACAACCAGATCTTTATTTGTTTTAAGAAGTAATTTTGGTTGCAAAAAATTAGTCGCTCTTCAAAAGAGATTTTGTCTTTTGAAAGTAGACATAGGGAAAAACAATATACATAAATTCCTATGTCGACTTCTTAATAAATAGCACTGTACGTCTTTTTACCCACCATATGCCAACATCGTTTGTGTATAAATTTCGTTGGCAAAACGACCAAATGCGTTAGTTCGACGGTCAAATCTAGAATTATGCCCATTTTTGAGATTACGAGTATTTTTCTTCGAAAAAATCTTTATCGTAACTTTGGATTGGGGAATCAATATACAAACTGTCTGCATTGATCACTTATGTAGCTGTATCTTTTCAGAAGCTTAGAATGGGCGAAACCGAAACCCCTCTGTCAAGCCATTGGGCCCTGGGCAGCTTGGTATTGATCGGACTGGCAACTTCCGAGCTGGCCGGCGCTTCCACGATAGTTGCTTTGCCACTAACTGCGCTGACGGTAGCATTAGGCGGTAAGACACCACGCATTTGCCGGACTTCTAAGTCATTCCGTTGCAGCCCTCTGCGAACCGGCCGCAAGACCAAAAGAAGCGACAACGAGAAAGAGGAGTTTCCGCGATATTGTCGAGTTTGTAGAAATTTGGTTTAACATTCTCGAACTACTGGCGGCGGGAGCGACGTCGGCGAGAGTGGCCAGCGCTACCATGGATTACATGAGCAGAGGACGACTGAGAGACTGGCTGTTCGGCCTCGAGTCCCATTCGTTGGGCGAACCTTGGCCTGATGTTCTCGGAGTGACTATCGTCGTGGTCACGACTGCGCTTTTCATGCTGGGACTTGACGTAAGTGGGTCATTTTCTTCTCCAAAACAGCTTGACCCAGACACCATATCTGGTTTTCTCGTTCACTGAATCACTGAGGTGCTGGGTCACTGGTCCAGCTGCCTAAAACTACCCCCACTTTCTTTCAGAAATCAAGCACGTTGTCGATCTTGCTCTACGCTGGACTAGGGGTGAGCTTCGTATTCTTCATTGTTGTCGGCAGCTTACACACCGACACCATTTTCTGGAATTGGACCGAGGACTTCACCTTAAACGGCTGGTCTTGCGTAAGTCGCGCGCTACACGCCACCCCAACTAAGAACCTCTTGTAGATTCTGACAACGTCGGCCATGTGCGCGTATGCGTTCCCCAACGAAATTTTAACCAATCAAAAAAAGCTGTGCCTTAAGTACGGGTGCTTTATAGTCGTGCCCTTGCTCTGTTACGTACTCATCGTCGTCGTGTTCACGCTGATGTCCCATTTCAGGTAAGTCCCACGAGAGTGGTAACTTTTGTCGAAGTGACACCGCAGGGAGCTGGCGGGAACCGCCATTCCGTTGGTGCGCGTTTTTGAAATACGCGACGTCGACTGGGCGCGTCCGGTTATGGCGACGAGTACAATTTTCGTGAGCTGTATAGCGTTGACGGAGATAATTCCGTCGTTTTGCAACTGCGTGCTGAGGTTGGCGAGTAAAGAGTGGCGAATGCTGGTGTCGTCCCTTCTCTATCGCAATCCACTCACTGGTGCGCCTGTGTTGTCAATATTTACAGTGGGTAAGTGATTGAGATCAAGCATACTGTCTAGATTCTTCGTTTCAGGTAGCCTGACGTCTATTTTAGCCTTTGCGTGCCCTTTGTCTTATCTTGTGCGTTTACTCAATGTCGCCCCCTTGCTGAAATGCGCCCTGCGCTCGAGCCGAGTGCTGTACGTGCGTTACAAACCGGAATTCGTCCACGAGGACCTTTCAGGTTAGGCACACTTGCGCAAAGGCGCGTCTCTGATCTTTGTTGTAGTGCAACACACCAACATACAGTACAGTCGGTTGCAAAAAGGCCAGAAGAGGACGGTCAAGCCGTCTCCTACGGCGCGAATTAAGACAGCGTTCGACATAATGCCCCGATTCTTCCGAAGCGCGACGGTTCCGTGTACCAGCACCGGAATTTTGGACGATAACGAATGCCTGCTTATGGACGACTATAGCACCCAGAGCACGAGGGAGTGCGCTCATGATGGAGACAGTGATACCGAGAGTGATGTTAACGAAATCTTATCAATGGCCGACGCTGATGAAGCAGAGTCAAGCAGCTCGACTGATATCGACGCAGTGGTTCAAGAGTATAAGGAGAAAGTTCAGGTAAGTATTGGATATGTTCAACCATTGTCTCTCATCTTCTCCACCAGGTGGCGACAGTGAACAACTTCGGGGAAAGTAAAATGCCCACGCAACGGACCAGTCAAGTTGTCTTGGGTGCACTGGTCATAATTTACATATCATCGTCGCTCACAATGACCGGAATTTTTATGGACATGTCCCAACTTATTTGGCCGAGTGTCTCAGGTGAGAGGTCCTGGCTACGTAAACCCCTGTACAATACAGAACATATGGGATAGTTCAACCGTAGTAGGTTTTGCTATGGTTGTAATTATTGCTACCATTATTTCCATGCTAAATTCTACCAACTGGTTAATATAAAATATACAATGGTTTGCGCTTGGTCTAGACAGATACCATTGTTCCCCATATATCTAGTTCTAAATATAGCCCTATTCAACACACTCAGTAACCATTACACAACACAGAATGCAACCTCGCAAACGGCAAGCTCGTGACATTGCGAGGGTGCATTTAAACATTACTTTGTTTTGGTGGGTTCATAAAATCATTATCATTAGTTCACTATCATTAGTTCATTAAGAAATAGCCAATAGAAACAAAGGTATGGTTTCGTTGGTTTGCGACGCACAGTAGACCTTTGATTCTATTGGCTATTTCTTAAACCAATGATAATGATCGTAGTAACCCACCATTACCCTTTTTTAGAAGGAACTTGAAAAGTTTGCAATCGTTGGGGAATTTAAATATTAGTGGGTTGCTCATTAGTCTGGAAAACCGAAAAAGGAAGGAAACATTTGGAGTCTTCGGAATCATAAGAACTTGTCACCGAACAAGAAACAAGAGAGGAGGTGGAAAAAGGAGGGGAAAATGGAGGAAAACGGGAAAGCGACCAGAACGGAAGCACTGGAAATCCGTACAAGAGGCGCAACACAACAACTGAGCCAGTCGTTCGCCGATGGTGGCAGCCTTGCTGTTGAACTGTGTTCGATATTTTAATACATCATTGTGATTTTTAAATGCATAAGGGTAGTAGGTATAGAATATCGAATAGGTCAAGGTGAAGCTCAAAGGCCACATGGCACCAAAAGGTCAACGACCTCATTTTTTGCGGTACCACATAGGTCTTCCCTTAATGTGTTACCATTTAAATCAGAGAAATCAATTTTTAGTACAGCCCTTGAACTCACCTGCAGTTTATTTAATGGGGTTCATTAACCTCCGATGACCTTGTTAGTTGCAACAAATAGGGCGATTGACCTTTGATGACCTTGAAAATAGAATATGATACCGCAAAAAAATGAGATTGAATTTTATAACTGGGAAAATAAATAGAACATGATATAAGAAAAGGCATCTTTGACCTCTGACAACTTTGAACACCGCGCAAAATTGAGGTCACCACAACATGTGGTCTTGAATGGCGACCAACCATTGGACTTTGTGCGGCGAACAAACTTTGGACTTGGAATGTTGACCAACCTTTGGACTTTGAACGGCAACTAATCTTTGAGCTTTGAACGACGAGCGGCGTTTGAACTTTGAACGATGAGCAACCTTTGAACTTCCTTGTCTGCAGGAAAGCTTAGAAAACTTGGATAGCATCCGAATTTAACCTTATAGAATTATACATGGAGTTGATTTAGAGTGTATCTTGCTAGAAAATTCTTTTAAAATTTTGTTTGGCCACCAGGAGAACATAATAGACGAGGAGGTCTTTTCCCATCACCCACAAAAAAATTTCGAAGCCAAATTTCGTTTTAAATCTTTTCAAATTTGGTATCAGGAGGTTATAATGTGCGAGGAGGTGTTTCAGCTCCTAATACACGAGGGGATAATCAGAAAATTCTTTTAAAATTTTGTCTGGCTACCAGGAGAACATAATAGTCGAGGAGGTCTTTTCCCATCACCCACAAAAATATTTCGAAGCCAAATTTCGTTTTAAATCTTTTCCAATTTGGTATCAGGAGGTTATAATGTGCGAGGAGGTGTTTCAGCTCCTAATACACGAAGTGCCAATCAGAAAATTCTTTTAAAATTTTGTCTGGCTACCAGGAGAACATAATAGTCGAGGAGGTCTTTTCCCATCACCCACAAAAATATTTCGAAGCCAAATTTCGTTTTAAATCTTTTCCAATTTGGTATCAGGAGGTTATAATGTGCGAGGAGGTGTTTAAGCTCTTAATACACGAGGGGACAATCAGAAAATTCTTTTAAAATTTTGTCTGGCTACCAGGAGAACATAATAGTCGAGGAGGTCTTTTCTCATCACCCACAAAAATATTTCGAAGCCAAATTCCGTTTTAAATCTTTTCCAATTTGGTATCAGGAGGATATAATGTGCGGGGATGTGTTTAAGATCTTAATACACGAGGGGACAATCAGAAAATTCTTTTAATACTTTGTCTTGCTACCAGGAGAACATAATAGTCGAGGAGGTCTTTTCCCATCACCCACAAAAATATTTCGAAGCCAAATTTCGTTTTAAATTTTTCCAATTTGGTATCAGGAGGTTATAATGTGGGAGGAGGTGTTAGCTCCTAATACATGAGAGGACAATCAGAAAATTCTTTTAAAATTTTGTCTGGCTACCACGTGAACATAATAGTCGAGGAAGTCTTTTCTCATCACCCACAAAAATATTTCGAAGCCAAATTTCGTTTTAAATCATTTCCAATTTGGTATCAGGAGGTTATAATGTGCGAGGAGGTGTTTCAGCTCCTAATACACGAGGGGACAATCAAAAAATTATTGTAAAATTTTGTCTGGCTACCAGGAGAACATAATAGTCGAGGAGGTCTTTTCCCATCACCCACAAAAATATTTCGAAGCCAAATTTCGTTTTAAATCATTTCCAATTTGGTATCAGGAGGTTATAATGTGCGAGGAGGTGTTTCAGCTCCTAATACACGAGGGGACAATCAAAAAATTATTGTAAAATTTTGTCTGGCTACCAGGAGAACATAATAGTCGAGGAGGTCTTTTCCGATCACTCACAAACAAATTTCTAAGCGAAATATCGTTTTAAATTTTTCCAATTTGGTATCAGGAGGTTATAATGTGCGAGGATGTGTTTAAGATCTTAATACACGAGGGGACAATCAGAAAATTCTTTTAATACTTTGTCTTGCTACCAGGAGAACATAATAGTCGAGGAGGTATTTTCCCATCACCCACAAAAATATTTCGAAGCCAAATTTCGTTTTAACTCTTTTCCAATTTGGTATCAGGAGGTTATAATGTGCGAGGAGGTATTTAAGCTCCTAATACACAAGGGGACAATCAAAAAATTATTGTAAAATTTTGTCTGGCTACCAGGAGAACATAATAGTCGAGGAGGTCTTTTCCGATCACTCACAAACAAATTTCTAAGCGAAATATCGTTTTAAATTTTTCCAATTTGGTATCAGGAGGTTATAATGTGCGAGGATGTGTTTAAGATCTTAATACACGAGGGGACAATCAGAAAATTCTTTTAATACTTTGTCTTGCTACCAGGAGAACATAATAGTCGAGGAGGTATTTTCCCATCACCCACAAAAATATTTCGAAGCCAAATTTCGTTTTAACTCTTTTCCAATTTGGTATCAGGAGGTTATAATGTGCGAGGAGGTATTTAAGCTCCTAATACACAAGGGGACAATCAAAAAATTATTGTAAAATTTTGTCTGGCTACCAGGAGAAAATAATAGTCGAGGAGGTCTTTTCCCATCATTCACAAAAAAATTTCTAAGCGAAATTTCGTTTTACATTTTTCCAGTTTGGTATCAGGAGGTTATAATGTGCGAGGAGGTGTTTCAGCTCCTAATACACGAGAGGACAATCAGAAAATTCTTTTAAAATTTTGTCTGGCTACCAGGAGAACATAATAGTCGAGGAGGTCTTTTCCCATCACCCACCAAAATATTTAGAAGCCAAAATTCGTTTAAAATCTTTCCAATTTGGTATCAGGAGGTTATAATGTGCGAGGGGGTGTTTCAGCTCCTAATACACGAGGGTACGATCAGAAAATTCTTTTAAACTTTGTCTGGCTACCAGGAGAACATAATAGTCGAGGAGGTCTATTCCCATCACCCACAAAAATATTTTGAAGCCAAATTTCGTTATAAATCTTTCCAATTTGGTATTAGGAGGTTATAATGTGCGAGGAGGTATTTAAGCTCCTAATACACGAGGGGACAACCAGAAAATTCAATTAAAATTTTGTACCCCCCCCCCCACACCCCCAGCGTAGAGGGAATCGATTACGTTTACCTGAAGAGCTACAATGACAGTTTCTTTCTACATAGTCATGCACTTTCTCTTCCTGGGGGGTATTCTATACCCCCCGGGATTACATTCTTCCCCAAAACGTTCAGCCCTATAACTCTCGTGTATGAAATACTCCCCAGAAAAGGAATATGGATGTCACTCCCTACAAAAGTGTTGCGCATACTCATTTCCCTAAATTTTGGGAAGACGAGCTTTGCACCGGGAGGGTGTGAGGGGTATGGCCGTATGGGATGCCCCTCAGCAGTACCCCCCCCCCTCCCCAGCGCAAAGAAAATTGATTACATGAAGAACTACAATGACAGTTTCTTTCTACATAGAGACATGCACTATCTGTTTGCTGGGGGGTTTTCCATACCCCCCAGACCCTCCGGTGTTACATTCCTCCCCAAAACATTTACCCCTATAACTGTCGTGTATGGAATATTCCCCAGAAGAGGAATATGGATGACACTCCTTACAAAAGTCATGCGCATACTCATTTATTCCCAAACTTTTGGTGGGAAAGCATAGTACAGATGGTCTGAGGGGTATGGAGTACCCCTCAGCAGCCCCCCCCCCCAGCGCAGAAAGAGCTACACAATTATTTAGGAAGCTACTACGTTTGTGGATTATCCGCACTTGAATGCAGTGAAAGTGGCAGGATGCTGACAAAATTGTAATTGACCGTTACCTACAAACCTAAACAGGAAGCGGTAAAGTTAACGACTCTAACGTGGTGCAAATCTTTGCACGTGTAATTTGGCACTTAAACCAACTTTTTCATTTAAAACTACAGATGATGTAGGATGGTTGCAAATGTTTACATTTTATTACTGCGGTGATGGCACGAACTGTAAATAAATCTTCTTTGTTTACGTGCGATCTTTGTTTGTGTTCCATCGCCTCGTCCCTCTCAAAGTTGCTACCCTTAGAAGAATATCAATAGTCTTTAAGATGCGGAATGGATGTAAAGGAAGAATTGTATCGAAAAGTATGGGGCGCGTTCATTATGAAAATATTGCTTTTCTGTTTTGGTGTTTCCGTTTTGGCAGAGACAAAATTCAGTGTAAAAATAGACGCTGGTCTACAATTGGTTTAAAGGGGACGTCGATCACGGAAATTTCGTTGGTTCCATTTATGCTTAATATAAATAGCGAAGCGCAGAGAAAAAGTTCATTTTATAATTACATTAGTCAATGTTGATATGGGAATTAATCTACAAGAAGCATAACAAATGCCAAAATTTAGAATCAACATTTAGGGGCGAAATGTTTTAGGGGAGAAGTCTCACAAGGAGTGATAAAATCTGAGGGTAAAGTGTCAGAAGGGGCGAAAAGTCCGGGGGCGAAGTGTCATAAGGGGCGAAATGTCCTCACATCGAAAAAATCAACCCAATGGGGTTGATTCCCAGATCTAAAAGCAACATCAATCTATTTTGACTCGACTAAAGGGGTTGAAGAAAGTCCTTCTAGTTTGGAGCTTGTAATAAATTGGATGCTCAAATTCCATCTGAACTTAACTGTTGTAGAATAAAATTTTCATAAACAACCCCTTTGCGTGGAGGTGCTTTTTACCAGACTCTAGAATCCGCCCATCTCCCCCTGATTTTGATAAATTGCCAGAAAATACTTGTACTAAATCAAAGGGCTGCACGCAATGAACCGTTTCTTCCTCCGTACCGCATTGCACGCAAAGTGAATTGCTAAGTACTACGGTACCATTGCCGAAA